GATTAACATACCAATATTATTGAAAATACGTAGGACATTGATGCTATGAATATCTGACGCGCTCGAGTATGACCATGCAACTGTATTTTTTTACATATTTAAAAATCTATAGCCGCTTTCCCCATCGATGAAAAGGTATATATCATATGACTTTTTTTTCTTCTTATCATCTACGCTTTGCAACCTAATATGTCTAAATGACGCTCGAGTAAATCCCCATTTTGCATCGTGGGCTCCCCTGCTATTATTGCTATGTACACTCATGATTAAGAAATCACAATCATTTTCTCAACATTGATTCAAATTATCAATCAGGTTTGTTTTCGTGAGTAGTTCATCAAGCCACATGCGATCGAAAGAGCACTCTTTGTATAATTTCAGTGGTATAAAACAATGCCAAAGTTAATTGCGGAGCGACAGCCCATGTACGAATATTAAAGGATATCGAATTGAATTTTGTCCATTTGCATATTCACATAACTGAAATTGGAGAATTATAACGGCCGAAAATGATAAATTTCCTGCGGAGCACCCGCTCTACTTTGGCGGAATTATCAAGTTAGCGCCGGTCGTCTGACCGAGGACATTTTAATAAAGGTCAGATGGGCTTTTAATGTCTTTTTTGGCCAGCTTTAGAACTGAATTCACCCTCTGAACTCCCAAGGTTTGAATAATAGGGTAGATGAGTTTTAGCCGTAAGTTCTCTGTTACTGGATTAGTGAATGTATTTGTACTGGTAATTCGAAAATGTTTCTAGAAATGGTAACAAGTTTTAGATGCACATTGAATTAATTATAGCTACGACAATTTATTTTTTCCATTCAGTTTGTATTCCATTGAGTATAACAATCGCCATGGAATTGATAGAACTGGAAAGAACTGGCCGATACTTGATGAAAATCCATATTAATACAATTTTTTGTTTTTTGTATGATTTTCACTATAAAGGATTTTACAGAAACCGCGACACGTGTTTCGCTATACAATAGCTTTCTCAAGCACTTGAGAAAACTATTCCACATAGGAAAGTCACACAATATATAAAATTATTACCAGTCCGTGCAAAGTTTATTGTTAAATCATCTGAAAATGGAATTTTTAACAGGTGATGATCAACTGTATTGTCAAACATGCGCCAAACTAACTGACTGTTATAAGGCAACAAGTATATCTGAGGCACCAGTCAATCTAATAATAACACTGATGACATTCAAACAAGACTCAACCTCTAACGGAAGCAAGAAACTCTTTGGAAGGTTCGAAATAGATGAACATTTATTCGCCAGACATGGTTTTTATGAGCCTCTAGAGGTTTTCTTGAGGCAAACGCTCCCACTCTTTTCTGAGAGTGATTTTCAGCTCATCCAAAGAGGTAGGATGCTTTTGACGGCTCCGAAGGGTTCTTACCAGTTGATTCCAGACATATCAGATGCAAACGGGCTGCAAACGGGCCACCCCAAAGTGGTGATATTGTGGGCTTGTAGGTACTGACGCACGATCTCTGCAGTGTAGGGACGGGCCCCAACATCCTGTTTCTGCTCTGTGATGTATCTGGACATCCAACATCTCATTAACATACCTGTGGGCGGTAAGTGATCTGTTGTGGAAAACTACAAGGTCTGTAGGATCGTTGAGTGTTATTCCACCCCAAACTATTATTGATCCACTTCCAAATAGTACCTTCGAAGGTAAGCAGCAGTTCTTTTGTATACTCTGGCTTGACCATCATTACCGAAAAGAGTTAACTTAGGGTACTTCACGCAAATGCGTCAGCTGCCATTGTCTGTGTGTTCAAGCAAACTGCATACTTTCTCTTTTGTGACGTGCTGTCAGCTAAGGTACCTGGACTAGTCATCTAGATTTCAATCCATATTTCCGAAATCGCACTTGACTTGGATTCCTATGGACAGTCTCTTGTTGTTGGTAGCGGTTTCAACGTTTCGAAACCACTAATTGACTTGCACCTAACTTTTGACCCACTTGAAGTTGGGAAACAACACCTTCAATCCATGCGACAGCCCTAGTGATATCATTGTCAGCAGGAAATTTTCTGAAAGCTGCCATGTGGCGCCAAACAGAAAATTAGTAAATTGCACCTTGTCAGTTCGATTGGCAACTCGTTATTACTTAAAATCATGCTCTTTTCCATTCCTGTTTCGATATGTTTTCAAAATAATGAGAATGATCTATACTTTTCCAAAACCAAGAGACGAAAGCAACCTATGTTGTTTCTTATCAAAGCTGTCCACCACCAAAGATCACAGCATTATATTCATCATAAAACGTATTCTTGTTCGCGATCATTACAAAGTATTGATCCTTTAATTGTTTCGAAAAGTGTATGAACCTAAAGGACGAAATCTCTTTCTCTTTGTATCAATAGGATCACTCACAGCTGTGATTTCTAAAAGTTCCAAAACTTTTAAGCCTACCTGGTAAGCCTACATACGACATTTTTGATAATCTTAATAAAATTTTCTTTCATAATATCGACTTGAATCTCACTGGAAACGAGTTTTTCAAAAAGTACTGACAAATGAGGGTGAGTTTTTCAAATTGTCATGTTTGAGTCAAAACATATATCGAGTTTTTTCCTGTGAAAATTATTTTGTATCAAATACTGACTGATTCCACATATTTCTGGTTGTGTGGTGACAAACAATAGTCAAATTCTTGTGTATCCTACTCAAACCGCTTTGGAAAATAATATCTATCGTATTGAAACATAAAAAATTATGGAAATGAAAAAGTTATCAAAAATTCATCAAACAATTGAAAACTTCATCTTTAGTATTCTCATTTCATTTCTTATTCGATCAAAATTTTTGAAGAAGTTGAAGTTGATCTTAAACCACTGCTGTGAAACCTAGGAAGTGGAAACTTACTGGCCACGAGATCAGAAACTCTCCCTGATAAAAGTTAAACAATTTGATGCTGAACTTTCCGGAGAAGACTTTTATTATTATGCGCTTGGAGAGTTATGGATATTGCGAAAGTTACAATGAGGTGTTTTAGGTAAAAATGGCCGAGGGAATAATTTCGAGGAAGCATGAATATTGGTGGGTATTGCCAAGTGAGTAGGTATTGAAAAGTAGCATTTATCTTACACCATAAAAGTTCGGTGATAAAGAATACTTTAGGGAATGATGTGATTGAGATGAAAAAGACGTGATTCGTTTGATATTCGGATGAATAGACCTGGATATAAAAAAATATTGAATAATGTTGATTGGAATAAAATCTTTATCATCCAACACAATTCTGTAAAGAACGAAACATAGTTGAATATACTTTTTTTTCATTACCACTGGGGCAGTACACGGAAATAACTAAATCAACACAGAAATATTTCACTTACTTCAAATAATATTTGATCTGAGCTCTATGGAGCATCAAAAGTTGCTGACGTGTGTACAGTTTTCTGGTTCGGAACAGTGTTCCAAGCTTTTGAGAAGCAGCCTTTGCAATTCTAGCGACTTGATTATACCAAGACATATTGATGTCCAATTCAACCAACAACAAACTTATCGAAGCAGAAAGCGGAATTGTCTGCCCTGACATTATTATATCCGATTCGGAAACATTCATCTTTTTGGAGAAAACCGATGTCTGGGTTTTCGTAGCATTAAATAAAACCTGGGTACTTTCACCCCAGTTCGAAATTACCCCTAGATCCTCATTAATCATAATTTCAAGCGAATAATATGCACGCCTGATAAACTGATTAACCTGACTCTCGAATTTCAAGTCCTTATCGAAAATGATGCCCAGGCTTTTGGCTTCTGCTGCCGGTGAATATGTGCATCCGCAGTCGTTGTTCTGGTATTCAAATGGAATGACGAGTCGTCGTCAGCAAAGCAATATATTATACATGGATCCCGGGGATGATATAAGTATTCGAGAGATACTCATCGACGACCACTTGTAGGGAACGTTCATTCAGAAAGCTGGAGAGCCATATACAAAAATGATCCGACAAGTGATAACATCAAAGTTTGGCCAGCAAACCCTCATGTCACACACGGTCAAAGGCCTTAGAAATATCAAGCGCAACAGTTCTTGATTCTTCATGTTTCTCGATTGCGTTAGTCCAAATATGGGTGGCATACAATAGAAGGTCGCCTATTGATCTTTGTTTCTTTGTCAAATAACGTTAGAAAAAAATAAAGAAAATTCCGATTCTCAGTATTTTCTAGATATTTCCGAAAATACTGGGAATTTCTCAAGTTTCAGACTAGTATTTTATCAAGGACAGAAAAACGCATCTTTGTCATAATTCAAGCTTCGACGTAGGAGATCCCAATGGTGGGGGTCGAATTTAAATTACCCTGTAGATTTTCAAAATCATCTTTTGATGGACTCGAGGCGCACGATCCGGCAGCGGCTGAAAAAAACTGGTTTCAACTAGGAAGGTACTGTAGAAAGAGATTCACTAGATTCCATCTAGAGGGTTGTAACATTTTCACCATAGTAGTACTTATGTCAGTTGAACCGGTAGTCGAAATACTTTTTTCTTCTCATTTTCAAGTGTCTCCTACGCGATTGAAATTATGCTTGTGATGCGTTTTCATTATCTGTTTTAACATATCTCAACCAAAAGGTTCAAGATGTTTGCCGCGCACCGTACAGGGATTTGAGCAAAATCGTATTAGATGTAGTTATGTATGAGTCTTTTCTACGAATGTTTTATTTAACTGTCGGACGGACGCGGAACCCCTGCACCCCTTCCACGGAACCCCAGGGTTCCGCGGACCACCATTTAGGAATGGCTGATATATACACTACTGATGTACTGTATATATTTTTGCTATTATTTTTTTCTCAAATTTTAATTTTTGTCTGTCTTCAGTTCATTACTATACGATGTCATTGAGCGATTTCAGGCCAATTTTTCTCTACGAATTCAAATTGAACCACAGCGCTGCTGTGTAGATCATCTACGACAACAGAAGATGTTCTGGGCAAAGGTTAAAGGTCGATGAGCCTTCCCAATGGCGAAAATGCTTCCGGGCCAAACCATCACAGCAGAGACCTACTGTGAGGAATTCGACGAAATATACCAGAAATTGCGACTCCACGGCCCGGCACTGGTAAACAGTAGAGATCCGATCCTGCTTCACGACAACGTCCGTCCACACGTTTCACAAATCACCGTAGAAAAATTAAACGAATTGAGCGTTGAAGGTCTGCCTCACACACCATACTGCCCAGACCTCTCGCCACTCGACCATCATCTTGTCAAGCACTTTGATAACTTTCTCACCGATAGAACCATCGCCAATAAGTATCAGGCAAAACGGCTTTCGTCTACTTCGTCGAATACTGAGCACGCTATTTTTATGCTAAAGGAATTGATCGACTTGTGTTACGTTGGCAAGAGTGTACTGAATCGAATGGCGCCTATTTTGATTGAATTAAATAAGTATTCACTGAGGTATTACAGCTTGAGGTAGACTCATGAAAACGGACAACATTACACTTTCGAAACAACATTATATTGAAAAGTTCGCGTTCTGAACGTTTCTTTTCATAGTTTTGATTTTCAATAAGTCTGATATAGTTCATACATAGTATACATTCAATAACTACCTATCTACATTTTATAGACAAAATTGAGAATTTGATGAGGATCCTGAATGAAGGAAAGAATATTCCATAACCTCCATATGGTCACAAGTTCTTAAAAAATATAGACTTCTGTGTTCAATCTTCAATTTTCCATATCTTGCATAATTCATTTCAGGGTTTGAAACATTTCCACATTCAAGGGTTCAATGAGCTCTCGACCATATTTCAATTAGAAATAGCATTAATCGATACATTTACTAATTTGTCAATAAGCTCATCGCTCCTTCATGCGTAACTTTCACGCATTCCTATTTTAAATGTTTATTTTCGTTTTCCATTATTCCCTTGAAGATTACTTTATCTCATGTTGAAGTGGATATGAAGTAGACTACTTCATCTTCTGAAGACTCCAACTTGGTTAGTGAATGTCGCGTCAAGAAGAGCGTTGCCGTTCTGCTATTTGGAAATAGTGCTGTTTTGGATTTATTTCACGCCAGAGGTTTCAGTCCTGCCTTATATTACTTCTTTTGAGTTTATTGCCAATTCATTTATTTGTCAATAACGTTATTATTATGTTTTTGATACACATTTAGAAATGATAAAAAAGATATTCGTCAAATGTTTCAATTGAAGTGTATTTATTAATTATTTATGCTGCTCCTATTCACTTCATCTGATAGCCCCAGTCAAAAAAAATGATGGAAAGTGGTTATGAAACTTAAAACATACATAGAAAGATATATATTTGAAACATCACGAAGGACCAGTTTTAGGCATCATCATTTGTATCGTTATCCTACGGGCTGAATTTTTTTTTCAGTGAAAATTATCTTCTAAACAACTCTAAATTTTTGTATGGAATATCAATGGGGATGATTTTACTGAGAAACGATGCTTATTTCAGTGAAAATTTCGAATAGTAAATTTCAAAGTGAAATCAATCAGAGACAAATTAATTCATGTTTGGCCGATCAAACCTTCTGCTACTAAGAAATGAAGAGACTCCTGCATTTACAGTTTTTTTAGGAGATACAATTGATGACGTGAAGATTATTGTTGAACATAAATACTGGTAAACATGAAATTTATTGAAAACCCTGAAAGTAAAATAATCTATGAGAGAGTTCACATTTGGCATCGAGAGTAACGTAATATTTTTCATAAAATGAGAATGTGAAACCAAAAAAATAAAATAACCGTTTCTTCAAAACTGAGAATCACATACTGAATCACCCAGACTACTTTTCAATAATGAAAAAACATAATCATTCAGAATCTGCCTATATATTTTTTTCAAATATTTTTGGAGATTTTCACTGAACAGTTCTACGAAAACCCATCACCTGTTTCGTTATGCAACAGCTTCTTCGGGCGTGTCTGTTCTGATGCTTATTACATCGTCAGTATAGACATGGTCTATACGTGGTCAAGATAATTGAACCATCAATTATCTGGCTTGGTTTTATATTTTTTTGGTATGCTATTCATTTCTATTCATTTCAATCGTGATTCATAGAAATCTTTTGAATTCTTCTTTTATATCTATTACATAAATAACGTTACTGATTTTTCTGCATTTCAGGTAAGCATTTTGTCCGTACCTTTCCATGAAACTACCATTGGTGAGTAAAAATCGCATTATTCAAGGTTTAAATTATATTTTTCCACTCAAAAGAGCAGAAATAAATTAAATAAAATAATTCGCAAACGAAATGCTGAAAATACCATATCGAATATATCTAACCGACGAATTCATTTTGAATTTTCAGTATTCAATAATTATTGAGTATTGGGTTATGTCAGTATTGGTAATATTTCATTTTGATGTTTGTTATTAATTGAATGACCGTTTCGAACTGAAAAATGGCCTAGGGCTCGTTAAAATAAAATGAAATACAATCCAAACATATAACAGAATTTGAGCCCGGTTAGATACACGATTTGCGGTTTTTGCATATATTCAAAGGAACCTTTTCTGGGATTATAACAGTGGCATTCATCAGTTATAATATTATTCTAATCTAGGTGCACAGGTGCATGCTTATTATTACAGTTTTGAAACATTACATATTATTCGAAGGTTTTTTCAGTATAGTTGTATATAATTTATTACCAAGAATCTCCATCTTCTCTTTTTCAGGTTTGCTTAATAGTTTAGTTCAATTATAAAAGTAGGAGATAATACCTCTCCTGTCATTGTTTTTAAATATATGTATTTTGAATATATGTAAATATATTCTTATTCTCGGTAATTTCAAAAAGGAGCTTGTGTTTTCCGTCGCACAGTGCATGTTCAGCGACTGTAGACTTCTCGGTCTGTCCCAAACGGGAACCCTGCATGTCCTCGTCTAGTAGGTACAAATCATTCTTGTTTTCGTCTGGTCGATATCAACTTCACCACAGTTACATAGAATTCTGTAAACTCCCAATGATTTGAGTGGATCTCTGCTGTCGTTTGCTGATCTCAGATACTCCGATATTTTCTTCGTTGGTTTGAAGATTTTTTCAGTTGGTGATACCTTCTATGTATGGTAGATAAACACTGCCTTGGGGTTGATCTTCACTGGTGTTTCTCTTTTCTACTTTGGACGCCTAGCTGTCATAGCTCTTCGCTTGTAACACAGTTGTTAGGTATTTTATTTCATCGTCGACGTATCTTTCTTCACATATTCTCAAAGCTCTGTTCATTGGAGTGTTTATGAGGGTTCGTTTCTGTAAAGGATGATGGTTGGATCCATTTTGTAGGTAACGATCTGTATGTGTTTTCTTCCTGTACACCTAAGAGTCTGGTTGATTACCTTCCTTGATGACTAAAACATCAAGGAATGGAATTTGGAAGTTTTTTTCAAATTTCATGGTGAACTGGATTTATAGATGAAAGCCATTTAGATGCATGAGAAAGTTCTGAAGTTCTTCTTTCAAATGGCTCCAAACAACAAACCCGTCATCTACATACCTCAATCAGTGCTTTGATTTGATCGTGTTCTGAAGTTTGAATAGCCCTTTACTCAAATTCTTCCTTGTAAAAATTTACCACTACTGGGCTAAGTGGACTGCCGATGGCGATTTCATCAACTTATTCATAAAAGTTTTCTGATTGATTCGGCCGTTACTTGATGAAGATCCATAGTAATTTCAAAAACTACACCTCACGATTCGATCGTGAAGATCAAATCGTGAGGTGTAGTTTTTGAACGTATTCATAAAAGGTTTCATTCCATTGAAAATGATCTCAGTGATCCATCAAACTTTCGCCCTATATGTCTCATTTCGATTCTAGGTAAGCTAATAGAGAAACTGGTTGAAATGAAATCGATAAATTTCTAATACGATATCATGAGCAATAGCCAGTTCGGCTTTGAATAAAAAAAAACACCCACGATGCTATCTTCTCTTTGTTATATATTGTTTATGGAAACAGTAATAAAAAAATAGTTATCAGCAGCAGTGTTTTGTGGCTTTGCTAATGCCTTTAACTGCGTGTATCACGGAATACTGCTGCTCTACTACTATTTCATAGGTGGAATTACTCATAAATGGTTCAAGGAATATTTCACAGGAAGTAAAAGAAAGTAAAAACCTCATTAACCTTATCAAAATCACTAGACCGCTCGAGCGATGTAATACATGGGCTGAAAAGGCCTGGGCCTAAGGAAGAAATCGCGTTTTTGGTTCAAAATTGGCTTTATTCATCAACGTAATCTCCATCAAGAGCCACACAATGATTCCAGCGCCGCTCTAACTATCAATACCACTTTCGTAAAACGATTTATCTTTTGCCTCAAATCAGGCCTCAATTTCAGCAATAACCTCTTCATTCGACCAGGTGAGCATTCTCAACGGTGAGCACATTTTGAGGTCTGAAAACAGAAAAAACTCGCTGGGAGTCATACCTAGAGAATATGATGGATGCAGAAGCAAATCGAAGCTTAACTCATGCAACCTTGCCATTTTTTTTATTGACTTGTGACACGGTGCGGTCGTTTCTTTACAATTTCGGCCTTCAAACGCTTCAATAACGCCATATAATTTTTACTGTGGATAGGATTTCCCTTCTCAAGATAGTCGATGAATATTACACCAAGTACGGGCGTTTTGGATGAGGTTCACCAGTTGCTCTCCAATCAGATGACGTTCGTTTTGATTCCGGAATGAAGTGATGGATCCATGTTCCATCCATTGTCACATACCGACGCAGAAATTCCGGTCTGTTTGAACATGGCCAAGCACTGCTCAGAATCATCAAGACTTTCTTGTTTTTGGTCAACAACAGTGAGCTCGCGCAGCACTCACTTTGAAAATAGCTTTCTCATAGATAAATGCTTTCACAATTCGAAGCCAACACGTTCTTTTCATATTCTTATAATGCCACACAACTTCATTTTTCGATCATTCAGAACGATTTCAGGATTTTTTTTTATGTTTTCTGGTGTTACTGCTTCATTTGGACGTTCACTGTGTTCTGCATCATCGGTGTCTCTAAGACTACGTTTGAAATCAGCAACCCAACTCTTAATTGTTGTTTCTGAAGAGGAGAAGTTCTTATAACACTTTTCCCATCAAGAAGCAGTGTGAAATCAAAACACAAAATTGTTTTTGATTCATTCTTTTGAAATTATCAAAAGTATGGTCACTTTTAGCATAATTATTCACAAACTTATGAGTAGAATATTACAAAATTCCAACACCTTCTTTTAGAAGGTTGGTACTATTTAAAAAAGCGGTGAATGCGATAAAACTAGCGCTATCTATGTGTTAGGCCCAAGACTTTTCAGCTTATGTAGGCGGGTCGTTTCGGAGATCAGCTGGCAAATTTGTAAGTGAGAAAAGTACGATAATCAGTGAATATAATCGATGTATAGTGTCCCGTTGTAATTTTGAATTA